ATGTATAGACTATTTACTTTGTTTTCTCAAAGATATATTGTTGATGTATAACACTCCCAACGCCATGAAAACAACCTTGTCCTTAAGGTTAAGAGAAGGAAAAGACGAAAAGAGTGCTGCAAAAATTTTCCAAGTGGCATCATCCGGTAATTTAATTTCCTTTGCACAAAAGTTGACCACGAAGTTTGATGAAGATTTTTTTTTTTTTTTATGGATCCTAACTTGCTAAGGGGTAGAAAGAAAACGACGTTTGAAAAAAAGGACTGTAATTTATCTAAAATTCATGTACTATTGATATAGGGAATTTATTTTGAATGGTGAGCATTTTAAGGGCCTTAAAATTCATGCAAAAATGCCAAGTACTTTCCTGTTTTTTGAAAAGGATAGAAGTTAACAGGTTGAGATATGGATGGAAGATGAATCAATGACGCTATGTTGAGGTAAAACTTGTGATGGATGAAACAAATGTTGAGATTATTTGAGTAAGGTAGAATTGGATAATGATAGATGATGTGCAAGAAAAGAGAAGCTTGTCTGAGAAGGTGGCGATTGTGGCGAAGAGATTTGATCGGTGGAAGAGGAAGTATATTGATGGAATGGAGTATGTGGATGGTCAATATTCAAACGATCAAGTTTCTTATTTATGGAATCCATGAAAGCATGGATTTGTTGAAGGGATGAGCCAATGGAAGCAAAATGATCATCGGTTTATTACAGAGATTTTTGGGTTTGGCAAATTGAAATTCTTAATTGACTTGTATTGAGCGTAAAACTTTGACCAAATCCGCATTCTTCATGTTTGAATTTTGAAAAGATGAAGTTCTTTGATCCAAGAGTTGGTACTTGCTAGAAACTGAAAAAATATTGTTCAGGTGTATGTAAAACGTGAGCTGATGAAGAATCTTGAATCCTTAAAGGAAGTTGAATCTTGCAAAAGAAAACAATTGGAGGAAGTCTGGCGGCTGAGAGGAGGGCTATCCAGGTGGTAGACGGATCTTGGTGCTGTTCTGCCTGTGCGGGAGAAGAAGACAGCAACAGAAGTGCGGCTGCACTAGAGGAGGCAAAGAGAAACATGGGCATAGCGGTGAAACAGTGGCCAAGAAGGAAACTGGCTGCTGTAGTGCTGGCGGTACAGCAGTTGGGCGTGAAGGATGGAGTTCTGCTGGAAGCAGCAGCTGAAAACTGCTGGAAACATTGGCTGAAAATAGGTTCTTGGACTTGAGATGCTGTTCTTGAAGGTCTTGGCTGAGAAAAAGGGCTGGAGACGGCCGTGGAGAGATGGCTACTGCTGTTAGGATGTAAAAAGAACAGTCCAGAACAGTTCTTGGAGACTGAATTGTGGCTGCAGTAAGGTGAGACAGCAATTTTGGAAGGCAGACTTGAGTTCTGGACCGGACAAAGGAAGATGGAACAAGTAGTCCCTGAAAAAGTGGATTGCAAGGGTCTTGTGGTCTGTATGGAGAATAGCTGGTTGGCAGGAACAAACCAGCAATCTGAGAAGGAAAACAGGAGTTCTTGCGGCTGTAGGAGGACCCGGATGGCTTGGGGGGGGGGGGGGCGCGGGGGGGGAGTAGGTGGGATGCAGAAATTCGTGTTTGGACCGTGGAAAAGGAAGAGTGACAGCTGAGAGAAGAAACCACTTGCAATGGCATGCGGTTGTGTCTCAACGAGAGCACCATTGATATCTTCTTGATTTGCATCAAGAAGGCTTGGGCATCATTCGAGTGGGTCTAAACTCCTTAAAGAAGAATGGAAGGGAATAGAGACTAGAAGGGGAAAACAAGAATTTTATTCATTCCATATCATTTTCTTGCAATGCTTGGGTAGACCCAGTTTACAACATAAATCCGATTTACAATATAGAACTAGTCTACCTACCCCACATATATATATATATAATTTACTTTGTACTTTGTTTGTCTAGAGATATATTGCTGCTGTATAACAAAAAAATAACTGCAAAGGACTGCGCTCTACCCTCAAGATGAAGAAAACTAATAAGAGCTTAGGAGAGACTACCAAAATTGCACAACACATGTCCTTGATTGCATCAGGGATGGAGTTGAATGTTGGGAGTAAAGTCACAAACACTAATTAATGGCGCAACGATGAGAACTTGTTTTGCCTTAAGCATGTAAGTATGAAAAGAGTCATGGTGGAGAAACTAATTGATGAGGTTGCTCATGAGAGAAAAAATGTGAACGAGTGAATTTCAGAAGAAGTTAATGAGTTCAGGCTATTTGATGATCCCCCTCAGACCACGGCTGAATAGATATAGTTCCCGGGCTAATTTACTTCTATCATCAGAGGGGTGTGGTTAGTGAGAAAAAAATAAATGATAACGAAAATAGGCCCAAAAAATTAAGTGGTTTGCTGGTCTTCACCAACATTCATAGTTAGGATAATATTGTTTTCCTTGCTTTTTAGTCACACCTTTACAATGATCACTTATGCCTCATTTTATAATATCATTTATTGCTTGCCCAATAGTTGTAGCTGACATGTCTAGCAGTTACACTGTATCATGGAGCTTGGGGTGGAGTTCATGGAGAATGGAGCTAGGACCTATCATCTTGGGCTGTTATGGAGATTATTGAACTTGAATTGCTAGGAAGATGTTGCCAGATTTGAAGGTCTCATCAATGGCTAAGCAGCCTGTATTGGGAGACAATTATGGTTGGTTGACACATCTCATCTGGATTGATATTGATGTATAATGATGACAGGTGGATGATTATAATTGAGTATGAGAAATGAGGCATCACATGCATCAGGCTAGATGATCATGATTATCATCACTTAATAGAAATTCCAAAGCATTAGGTAAGATTAGCTTGGCCGGCCACTCCGAAGGATCTACTTTTGAATGTTCTTAAAATTTAGATTACACCATCTTCCATACTTGCTTGGCAGGCCCTCCTTCCTCCAAATCAAGCTTATGCATTTTAGGAAAGCTTCAATAAGTCCACTAAAAGTCCTGGTCGACCCTCCAAATCAAGGAAGGGCTTGATTGAATATTACTTGCAAGTGGAACCACTCCCCTTCCAAATTTGACTTTTTTTATCCTTGTTCCTTAGTTTGTTTTAATTAATTATTTTTTAATTATTGTCTTTCTTTTATTGTTTAGGCATTTTCACCAATCCATGAGACCAATTGTAAGTGGCTCCAAACTAAAAGCAATGTTTGGTTGGCTATCCTAGGCTAGATTGAAGGAAATAAAGATTTACTAGTACAAACTACAAACTTGTGTAGAAAGGCTTCCTGGTTGCTCTCTAAACTCGGGATGACTATATGGCTAATCTAACAATTGACATTTTGGCAAGGCATGTATTTCTGTTGGTGTTTAGTTTCCTCAATCTCATCCACTCCCCTAATTCTCGGCCAATATAGCAAAAACAACCCCCTAACCTTCTATAACACCTAGCAACAGCCTAACATATCTGCTTACATCTAGGGGTGTCAATTTCGGGTCACGGGTCGGGTTCGGGTCGAACCCGGAACTGACCCGGGTTCAAACGGGTCGACCCTAACCCGACCCGGTTAGGTAAACGGGTCGGAAATGCGAACCCGGACCCGACCCGCGGGTCGGGTTTTCGGGTCGGGTCAAATGTTGACAGCTCTACTTACATCAATCATAGCCTCCATCAACATCCAACAAACTCTCCCTCACACCTAAGCCCAGTCTACTCCAATGGCCCTAAAAGAAGGCCTTCCCAAGCTTCCCTCTCCAAGGTCATCTCCACCCACCCCAAGCATTCCAACACTTTACCCTCTCCTCCACAAGCCCTCTAAACTTCACAACTCCTCTCCCCATACTCAACCCTAAGCATTACAAGCTATACATAAACTCCTTAACTACAAATAAAGTATGAACTAGCTCTTCTCCAAAACCTTCACCATTCTCATTGCCTAGTCTCCAAGATCCCCTCAAATAAGCTAGTGCCTTCACAATAACATCCATTTAACATGCCCATTATAAGTTCATTGACTTAGATATAAAATTTTAGTAGATATAGAAGGCTTATTGCTCAAACATGAGGTACCTTACCTAAACATAATTCTTTTAACTCGAACATAATGAGTTAACATATACAAGCTTTTTTACTGAGATATGAGGTGAGATTTCTAAGATAAAAGATTCTTGATCCAAATATGGGACTACTCGAAGACCATTAGTTTAAAACAACATTTTACACATCAACTCTAAAGTGAATTTGATGACATTTTAGCTGATGAGGGTACATTTTACCTATAGAATTTTGGGTGGTAGCAATGTTATTGGCATCATCAATGATATTCTCATATTCCTTTTCTTTTATTGCTTCAATGAAGGCTAGTAAAAATTAGCATCAGTCATAAAAACCCAAAAACACATACTGTTGACTTTTAAAAAGGCTTCCATGAAAAGGAAGCAAAGGCATGTTCCAGCTTTCCATCAGTTTTTCAACTGTCCGTTGGAAAACAAGCAACATATTCGACTAAGAGGCATTACTGCGCCATTATTCTTATTACATGATCTCAAAGCGATGAAATTTTTTCGAAAAGCTGTGCTCACCCACATGCACAAAAAACTATTCTTGTCATGTAGCACCGGCCAGCTATTGCCCACACCGGGCATAGGAGCTCTTTCCAATAAAGGAGAGAAAAAGAGTCAAACTTCGTGTTTGAGAAATAGTGCTCAAAACTCTGAATATAGATCAGGCCAGAAACAAGAATTCCTAGCACATCTTCGTCGTGCTCAAAGTCCTCTCACAAGAACAGATAGATTAAATCACCTGAATTTGTGGTTAATCAATAAACTGGATAGATCATAAAAAAACGCAACTGTAGATGGAGTTCACAAACAACCTCCGAAATTTATTTTACCCAATAGTTACTCACAATTAAGCTCAAAACAACCCTTTTATTTCCCAACCAAGGCATAACATGAAACAAATAAGAAAAAGAATACATTCTTTAGCATGCACCCAAAAAAAAAAAAGAGGTCAATAGGTAATGACCTTATCAGGATGAAGGTAAACCTGATCTCTGAACAGCAGCACGACCCCAGCCTCATCTAAAACCCTAGCGAACGCCTCCGCTTCTTCTTTGTCCCTAGCAACACCCTCTTCCTCACATGCCTCAAGCAGCTTCGAGTATCCAATGATCTCCTCCCGCTCCATCCCAAGCCTTCTCTTCAGAGCCTCCACGTTGACCAGCCGCATCAGCCTCTTCGCATCAGTATGCGTTATCGATTCCGGCGGCTTCTCGCCGGAGGCCGAGGACACCGACGAGCAGAGGTGGGCCCGTGGTTGGAGGGGATGAAATTGGCTTGCGGGCCATAGCCGCCGTGTCGTGGTTCCAGCGAGGCCTCGCCGGAGAAGCCACGACGCTGACGTCGATCTCCACATTGGGACTATTCAGTTTGTCGGGGGGAGTGGAGGGAAGGAAACTGTGAGGGATTTGTAGGGCCGACGGAGGCGCTTTTATTTGATTTGGTTGATCGGATGCAAAAAAACGTCTGCATCAAGTGTATCGAGTGTACAGGCGTTTTTTTTTTTTTATTCTCCATTCGGTCGAGATGAGGATGCTTAGATGGATGAGTGGCTTTACCCTTAGAGATAGGATACGAAATGAGCATATACGTGAAAAGGTTGGAGTAGCTCCAGTAGAAGATAAGATTAGAGAGAGTCGCCTTAGATGGTTTGGTCAAATGAAATGGCGGCCTTGCGATGACCCGGTTAGGAGAATAGAGGTATTAGATTTGACTTATGTTAAGAAATAGGACTCAATGGAGAAAAAGGATTCATGTAGCCGACCCCACGTAGTGGGATAAAGGCTTGATGTTGTTATTGTTGTATTCTCCATTCGGTCGGAGGACGTAATAACAAGTCCTCTAAAGCGTAATTAAAATACAACTAAAGCGCAAGTAAAGCGCAACTAGAGCACAACTAAAGCGCAACTAAAGCGCAAGTCAAAAAGCGCAACTAAAGCGCAATCAAAGCGCAACTAAAGCGCAAGTCAAAAAGCACAACTAAAGCGCAAGGTGCGCGGCAAATTTTTATTAAATGTCCGAACTTATTTTCCGCCTCCGGTCACCTGACCCAATAATTTGCCCCGACGGAGGGTAGGTGTGTATGAAAAGAAAACGTTCCCCAACTAATGATTAAGTTCGGTAACTATTAGGTTTGGTTCATTAATTAGACAATTTAGATAAAAAAAAACAACCAACTTGTTAAGTGAATTAGTAAAATAAGAATAAAAAATGTCTATATATATTACTTTTGTACTTAAATGTTAAATTTAGACTTCGGTTTCATTTAGGACAAATTTTTTAATATTTTTTTATTTAGGATAACTTTTTTAATGCTTTTTGAAGTAGTTTTTTAGTACAAATTTTTTAGTTTTAAAAAATTTAATTACAAAATTGCTTTATTATTTAGAATTTAAAATAGGTAAATGATAATTGTAATATATTTTTCTTTAAAATGACTGAGCTACTCAAGCTCCTCGTTATTTATTAATGTTAAGAAAGAAGACAACACATATTTTAACTATGAAAAGACAATTGAGATCACAAGACAATAAGGTGAAATAAGAAATATAAAAATATAATAATAGTTTGCTAAACCAGTACTCAGCCAAACAAGATTTATTGTTTCTAATATTTTTTTTTTATATTTATAATATTTGTTTATAATAAATGAAAAAAAAAAAAAAAAAAAAAAAGGGGC